TACTACTACTACTATTACGGCTGCTACGACTACTACGACTACTACTACTACTATTACTACTACTACTACAACGACGACTACTACTACTACTACTACTACTCTTAATATTAATAATATTACGAATTCTACTACGACTGCTACTACTACTACTACTACTACTACGACTACTACTAGTACTACTACTACTACTACTACTACTACTACTACTAGTGCTACGACTATTACGGCTACTACTACTACGACGACTACTACTACTACCACCACTACTACTACCACCACTACTACTACTACTACTACTACTACTACTACTACTACTACTACTACTTACTACTACTACTACTACTACTACTACTACGACTACCACTACGACTACGACTACGACTACGACACCGTTTACGACTACTACTACTGCTACTACTACTACTGCTACTACGACTACCACTACTACCATTATTACGATTAAGACTATTACAACTACGACTACGAGTACGACTACGACTACTACGACTACTACTACCACCACTACGATTACTACTACTACTACTACTACTACCACTACTACTAATATTTTTTACTACTACTACCACCACTACTACTACTTCTACTACTACTTCTACTATTGCTTTTACAATTGCTAGTTATTTCGCTACTAATACGACTATTACTATTACTATTACTACTACTACTGCTACTACGACCACTACTACTACTACTACTGCTACCACTACTACTACTACTACTACTACTACTACGACTACTACTACTACTGCTACGATTACTACTACTACTACGACTCCTACGACTACTACGACTACTACGACTACCATTGCGACTACTACTGCTACCAGTACTACTACTACTACTACTACTACTACTACTTCTACTACTACTACTACTTCTACTACTCCTACTACTACTAGTACTACTACGACTACTAATACTACGGCTACTACGACTACGACGACTACTACGGCTACGATTACGACTACTACTGCTACCACCACTACTACTACTACTACTACTACTGATACTACTACTTCTACTACTACTTCTACTTCTACTACTACTACTACTGCTACTACTTCTACTACTACTACTACTACTACTACCACGGGTACTACTACTACTACAACTACTACCACGATTACGACTACGACACCGGCTACGACTACCACTACTACTACTATTACTGTTACTACTACTACTACTACTACTACTACTACTACTACTACTACTACGACTACTACTACTACTACTACTATCATTATTACGACTAAGGCTACTACAACCACGCCTACGACTACGACTACTTCTACTGCGGCTACTACTACCACCACTACTCCTACTACTACTACTACTACTACTACTGCTAGTATTATTACTACTTATTTCACTATTACTACGATTATTAACAGTACTACTACTACTGCTGCTACTACTACTACCACTACGGCTACTGCTTCTATTACGACTGCTACGGCTACTACTACAACTCTTGCTACTGCGATACTACTACTCTTAATATTAATAACATTACGAATTCTACTACGACTACTACTACTAGTACTACTACTACTAGTGCTACGATGAGTCTGACTACTACTACTACTACCACTACTACTGCTACCACTACTATTACTACTACTACTACTACTACTACTACTACTACTACGATTACTACTACGACTACGACTACGACTACGACACCGTTCACGACTACTACTACTACTGCTACTACTACTACTGCTACTACGACTACCACTACTACCTCTATTACGATAGATTGCTACAACTACGACTACGACTACGACTACTCTTATTACGACTACTACTACCACCAATACTACTAGTACTACTACTACTACCGCTACTACTACTACCATTTGTACTACCACTACCACCACTACTACTACTACTTCTTCTACTACTACTACTGCTGCTACAATTGCTACTTATTCCGCTACTACTACGACTATTACTATTACTACTCCTACTGCTACTACGACTACTACTACTACTATTACTACTACTACTTCTACTACTACTACTACTACTACTACGACTACGACTACGGCTACTTCTACTACGACTATTACGACTACTACGACTACTACGGCTACGATTACGACTACTATTGCTACCACCACTACTACTACTTTTACTACTACTACTACTACTACTACTACTACTACTGCTACTATTACTTCCACTACTTCTGCTACTACTACTACCACTGCTACTACTACTACTACTACGACGACTACTACGGCTACTACGACTACTACGACTACTACGACTACGATTACAACTACTACTGCTACCACCACCACTACTACTACTACTACTACTACTTCTACTACTACTACTACTACTACTACTACTACTACTTCTACTACTACTACTACTACTACTACTATTACTACTACTACTACTACTACTACTACCACTACTACCACCACCACCACCACTACTATTACTACTACTACTACTACTACTACTACTACTACTACTACTACTACTACTACTACTACTAGGAGGATCCATGTGCATTTCTTAGCATCGATGCAATTCGGTGCGTTTTTGCTTACGCTTCGGTGCCCCCTTGCTCATCTTAACGTAGTGCTCGTGCGCAAACCAAAAACTGAGACCAATTCCAACTCGAGCACGCATGTTGGCTTCCAGATCCTCTGCGTTGACATAAGGGGTGTCACTTGGTCTTCGCAGTCGTTTTGGGCTTCTCTACAACTAAAATCCTATTGTGGGGCTATCCCAAGATGGTTGGGATTGGGCCCAGTTTGCTTTTCGCACTGGTTGGGGTTGGTTCCTGTTGGTTGGGAATGGGCCCAGTGGGTTGGGATTGGGCCCACATGCGGGGCGATGCTGGCCTGGCTGGGATAGTATGAGTTCATATTTAGAATGGGCGAGTGTGCAGAAGAAAAATGAAATTGCAATGCCCCGTGGGGGGGCCGTTAACTCTGGGGGGGGGGGAGGGGGTAGAGTCTTTTTTTTTCTCCCCCTCCCCCGGAACGGAGAATCAAATTGTGTTTGCAGTGAGTGGTCAACTCTGCTGTTCGCGTAATTATCCCACCCGCCCGCCTGCAACTTGCAACTTGGTTTGCAAAGCCCATGCGGCGGCGATTGCGATGAGTGCTTGGTGTTGGCTGGTGTATCTCTGCGGTTGCGCTAGCCCTCAGCGGCCAGCCAGTTTTGGCGCGACCGACGCGGCCGCGGCGGCGCTGACCGCTGGGCGCGCCCCACCGGGCAATTCCCTGCGAGGGGGCAGTTTGGGCGGGCGCGGTATCATGGCAACGTTGACAGCGGTAGACACGATGATGACAGTAGCTGTGCTGGTGACGATGATGACGGCGGCGACGGCGCGGCGGGTGACGGGATGAATGCTCATTTCGCCGACGACGGTGACGGCGTCTTCGCGTCGGCGGTGAAAGTGTTGAGAAGAGTTCGACGTGCGCGCGCGGTCGGCGCGCGAGAGCGGTCCGTGTGGTATTGTTTGACGCGGATCGTCCCCCCAAGCGTTCGCGCAACGGCGTTCGACTGATTTCGACATGCTTCGCGAATGACTTTTGGCAGGATTCAGCGATTCTGTTGACAAATTCGGGTTTTTGGATAATTCGCAAGAGCGCGAGCGCTTCCTTCATATTATAAAACGACGTAAAGTATAACGTAAACAACTACCATGTCAATATATATATATATATATATATGTATATATATACATACATATATTTACACATATGAACAAAACTGAAGTTGCGAACCTCTAAGGTTTCATGTGTTCTTTGGGCATTGGTTCTTGAAATGGTTACGGAACCGAAGGCTTTTGAATAATTTTGGCATTTGCGCGCGACGACGCGGGCGCGCGCGCACTTCGTCCCAGTTCACCAAAAAAGTTTCGCGACAGCACGGGCAATATGGGGTTCGAACGATTTTGACATGCGCGCGCGACGCCCGGCGCGCGTGTACACTTTTGTCGCAAAAAGGATTCTTGATAAAAAGGGATGAGTGTTGATGAACGAGTGCGCGCGCACCTTTTTTTGCAAAGGATGGCGCGGGGTGTAGATACTGGACTGGTTGGGATGGTATGAAGTCATAGTCAGAATGGACGATGGGGCAGAATCGTGTGTAAATTGCAGTCCGAAGGTGGGGGGCGATAGTCCCGTGTGTGTATGTATGTATGTATGTATGTATGTATGTATGTATGTATGTATGTATGTATGTATGTATGTATGCATGCATGTATGTATGTGTGTGTATGTATGTATGTTTGTATATGTATATATACATATTTATATACATATATATATATATATATACACAACAAAGATAACCTCTGATGCGAGCGATCGACAAACGCGCCGCGTGCGCGATTTTTGGTCGTGCAACCTCCGTGGTGCAATCCAACGGCGGCGACTGGCGGCGACGAGGCGGCGACGGGGCGCCCGCGTTGCGGCGACGGCGGCCGCACAGCCGCCAGGCCGAACGCACGGCCCAGACGACGGGCGGCGAAACAAATGCGGCGACCGGGCGGCGACGGCGGCCACATAGCCGCCACACCGAAGACACGGCCCAGTTCCGCAGAACAGAAGCAAGGTCCCCCAACTGCAAGCGCCATGTGGTGCAAGCTATGTGGTGCGAGCAGTGTGGGACAATCTATGTGGTGCCAAGTCTATGGCGCAGGCTTGTGGTGAGATGTATGCGGTACAACCTAGTAGCCATATTTTTGGTGCGCGATACGTTGTGCCATCAGTGTGACGCGGGCTCTGTGGCCGCTGTCGGGCACCCGCCCGCGAGGCGGCCACCAAAACGGCACAAGGCGAAACCCCGCCAGACCCACCCAGCGCACTGGGTGCCCGCGAGGCGCCCGACCAATCCAGCAGCGCGCGAAACCTCGCCAGACCCACCCAGCAGACGGGGCGCCCACGAGCCGCCCACGGGCGGCCACCAACAGGGCCCCATGCGGAATCCCGCCCTACCCGGCCAAGTGTTCAGAAGAAAGGTGGGAACCCTTGAGTGCAACAGCTGTTTGGATG